TAATGGTGCATTTCTAGAAACCTGCACTTCTTACACATCTTTTTGGTCGGGGGAGGGGGCCTGTCGGGGGAGGGGGCCTGTCTCTGATAACATGCCTTGACGTTGTGGTGTCATAATTAACGAGATTGCCGAGAAAGCAATTCTAGGGTAATTAACACTATTAAAGGTTAAGAAATCCCATCAATATTACTTAGCAGAATAAAAATGTTTTTATATAAATTAGAGGTTACCAAATATGGGCCTTAAAATCTGCACCAAGATTTAGCACAAGACTAACAGTATGAGTAAGAAAGGAACCAGCACACAAGTAGCTTTTCCCTCCTTGCTCTTCTTCTCAGCGAATTCTCTCTCTCTCCCACTCTCTCCGTCTCTCCCCCTCTCCTGTATCCTGTGCGCTCTCCTCATTCCCTATTGGTCCAGTCATTCTCCATCCCCCATCATATGATGTGTTAAAGTAAACATGCCCGTCAACGCCACACGCCGCCAAGCAGCAAACGATACGAATAAATAAGCACGACAATATTCCCGTTTTGGCCGCAGACTGAATATCGGAGGCAGAATGCCGGGTGCAGCAATCACCCCTACCCTACCCACGCCTGATATCCTGCCGGTTTGTTTCGATTCGAAAGCTAAGATGCCCGGAAACACATCCTGACACTCCGACATCCTGCCGTGAGGAAACCGAGGCCCTCATCGGCACGTGGAGCCCAGTGCAGGATGTTTTTAGGTGCCTGTTGTGCTTGCCCGTTGGAGGACTGGGCCTCTCTACTACGTTACTCTGATGTGTTTCACCCGACCACGCGGGTGGCTGGCAACCCAGGTGGTGGGTAAAAATAACAGCTGCATGTCATTAAACAAGTACTGCATAGAGAATATGGGGAACAATGGCATGTATCGGGAGCATTATTGAACAGGTTAGCTTTGGCAGACCTCCTCATACAGCGTCATCGATGGCATCAGTGCTGGATTGTCTGTTCTATGCTGCGTTGGCAGTGATCGAGGCTCTGCAGCACACGGCTCTTATGTAATTGCAGGTTCCGATGCCACTGGAACTGGAGGAAACTGGTACGTGCAGTTATTTGGTAAGACAGACCCAGATGGCATCACATGACTTACGCAAGCCCTTTAGCCAGCAGGTCAGGGACAGCCTGCTTATCCTCTGATCCAAATGTAATCCAATCAGAAGGATTTCACCTGAAAGCTTACGTGACATTGGATGGGAAGGAGGTATGGTGCTACTTAATGATTGGCGGATGGCTGGCTTGTATATATGGCACATTCAGGAGTTTGTATGCTTTGCTGTCATGGATTGATCAAACGCGTGTCTGTAAGAGCATGCATTTTGTTAGAGAAACAATGGGGGAGGAGACGAGGACTCTCCCAGCCAGGGAGGGGTTGTGGCCACACTGTGCAAAGTGGCACCTGTAGGGTCACTATTGGCTGCCTCCTGTAAAAACCGAGGCCTCCACATCATCATGGGAACTGAATGTAGGGGTAGACGTTAGTCAAGGCAAAGATGGTGTGGTGAAAATTCAGGGCTGCACCCCCAAAGACCACTGAGGCCAAATGACAGGGAGAAGCTCGAGTGGACATGCCAAGCATTCAGGATGTCAGGCCTGGTGGTGAAGGTCCATCCTTCATGGCATGAAAAACTTGGGTGCTCATTACTGTCACACCATTAAAGCAGCCTGACCTGTAGCTGAGACATTCTGCCCACTGTTTACCCTGCTGATCCAGGGCGAAGTGAGCAGCACTCGACACTTCCACCAGGGGGCAACAGCATGGAATATGGCCCATATGTAGGCTTTAGACAAACGTTGGTGTTTATTGTCAACATTCTTAGTGGGAAGGTCATGACACATGAGTGGGTGACAACTACAGTTTATTTACCTAGCACGGTAACACCATGAACTGTAAAATAGTGCCATATATTATGTAATCTCACTGCCAATTAATGTTAATAAGGATCTTCCTCCATCCATAATTCCAATAAATAAACTAGCTTGCATGAAATTGACTGTTTAAAATGCTCTTGATGTCTCCATGCAAGAAGATACCTTTTGAAGGCACTTATTAGTATGATGGTAATTAATGTAACGGAGTATCATGGCAAGTCCTTGGATCAAAGCTGTGTTTTTACCTGTCCTGAGCTGCTAGGGGAAGTTATTCACACACTAACGTCAACCTTGCGATGAAAAGCGAAGCTCACAGACTCTTAGCAAACGCACAGATCCATGAGCAGCTTTACATCATACAGCCCCGTTATTGTGAACGCAGAGAGGTACAGAATCGCTAGCAGTCTGAAAGTGCTTTTCACACAGCGGCTGAATCCAGGCCTGCATTTTCCTATCATAACTCCCGGTCCATCCACTCTGCCAAAGAGCCACCCTGTGTAGGCAGCGAGCGAGCGAGCGCATGCTGACCGCGCTAGAAGGTCTGCGCTGGGGCCGGGGGCCGGGGGCCGGGGGGGCGGGGTAGAGCTGGGCGATATCCTTCTCATACACACACACACACACACATTTGGCACCAAGCAGGACATTTCTTAGCCGAAAGAAAAATCTGAAAGCATGAAAATATGATTTATGGCTAATTCATTAGATAGCCGCTGTTAAACCTTGCCGACTGGCCTCCGTGGAAAACAATCAGTGGGCCGGATTTAATTATGATTTAAAAATGTCTCGGACTAAAGTAGTGGTTCACAAACTTACGGTAAGCCCAAGCCACATACCACCGTTATAACCAACGTTTACATGCACTGATACCTTTGCGTACCATATTAGAAGTTCAAGGACAGTAGTGATAAAACTTTAAAAACTGCGTCGGAAATGTACACTAGAAGCCAGAACTGAAAGCCAAAAAAAAACCTTTCTGTATAAATCTTGCGTGGTCTGTAGCTTAAGTGTACCTCCCCAGCAAAACTAATAATCACCAGTTAGTCACTGTCAGACACCAGGTTACTGTCTGATATCATCAAATACCGATAAAATCATGACATCACACAGCCCTGGAGTGGGCAATCCTGCAGTACCAGCGTGTGTTACAAACCTGAGCACCTTTCAGACTCCTTCCTCTTACCACCAAGACATGAAGCGTTTACCCTTAACACGTATCAGCCGGAATATGGCCACCAGCAGCATCACCACACACTACAGCCTTAGCTGCCTCTCTGGCTGATTTCTCAGCAATTCCTCACTGAAAGCCCCTAAGGGAGAGCGAGCTACAGGCACTCTAGGTATTAAGAGCACCACGTTGCCAGCGTGCCCACAGATATTCAGCACAGGAGAGCGTGCATCAGGATGCACGGCCGGATTTAAACACCCTGACGGTGTTAGCTGTCTCCACACAGCGTGAAACTGCGACACCTAAGAGACTGTTTTTTGGAGGGGGTGGAAATATTGACACTTGAGGGCAAGTGCACTAAAAGCTAGATACTCCCCAGTAGATAAAAACTGAAATATTTATGATGCCTAGCACACTTTAGCAAATGGCTCAGATGGTAGAGTGGCCTACAGAGGTAAAAGCTCCGCACTGTACGTGACGAGTTTCCATCAGTCGCTTGGGAGCCCTATAGGGTTCACCTCTGACCCTTAAGAATCAGCAGCAGTCAGCTGCCTGTCTATTGCCTTCAGAGAAATTTTCAATATTATAGATGTCCAGGTATTTGCATAAAATATTTATGCACTATTTTGTCTTTTTGGTTAGAAGGGAACGTTTGTGTCTCACATACAGCTCTTTGCCAAATATAGTTGATAAGGTTCTCACAGGTTCTCTGACCTCCCCTGTACTGCCACCCCCCCCCCCCCCCATCCCAGAGCGACTGCTCCAGCGAGAGTGAGAGCGAGGACAACTTCGTCATGGTCCCACCACGAGACCACCTGGGCCTGGCCATCTTCTCCATGCTCTGCTGCTTCTGGCCCCTGGGCATCGCCGCCTTCTACTTCTCTCAGGGGGTAAGAATCTTAACGGCTGACCCAGGATCAGCTCAACACCGTATCTGGTCCCTAAGAACCTGCACGGCTGACTCAGGATCAGCTCACCACTGCATCTGGTCCCTAAGAACCTGCACGGCTGACCCAGGATCAGCTCACCACTGCATCTGGTCCCTAAGAACCTGCGTGGCTGTCCCGGGATCAGCTCACCACTGCATCTGGTCTGGATGCCATGCTTGGCACTGCAGTGGCATGGCTCAAACTGGCAGTCACTGCTAGGACTGAATATATATACTGTTAGGGCCATTCTGTTCTAGGCGGATTATCTCAGACAAGGGGAACTTGAGACATACTCAGGGATGTAACCTGTCACTCTGGGCTTGTGATGACTGCACTTTGATCCGGCATCAAATTACGTGATCCCCCGCTGATGTGAATTAAGAAGCGTGGGGAGGGACTCGGCAAAGCGGCGGTTCCGTTTAGCGCTGCGGCTCTGGGCCGCGCTGTCTGGGCGCTCGCCGTCTGCCGGCTCGCAGCGAGGGGCTGCTTTCCATTTTCTCAGCTCTTTGCAGAAAAGCCCCCCCCCCACCCTTCCCCCGTCACCCATCTCCAGCCACCTCCTGTCTCTGCCTGTAATAGATTTATAGACACACGCTGGAAGGACGACGGAGAGCCTGTGGATGGGGTAGGGAAGGCACTTATTTCAGGGCCAAGTATAATGATCTGCTGGAATAAGGTACAGGAATCTGGCATCATCCATTTTGTGCACTGAGACTCAGCATCATGCTATGAGCGCGCACTCGGCCCAGGTGAGAGCTCATTAGGGAATATCTACCGATGCAAAGTAATAACCAGCCTTCCGAAAGCAATACTTCCTGATCCCTGATGTTCACATTTTAAACCCAGATGTGTTTAGTGATTAGCACAATCCACTGTTTATATTCAATCAAATTAAATAAAACACTTCTATACTCAGTCATCTACTTTAACCATCCCAAGTCCGTGCCTGTCTTTGTGTGTAAATGAGGTTTGTGGCAATTCCATATGCAGAACACCACATGCAAGCACCATCCTGGGTCTTTATTAAGATTAATTCTTCAGAAATGTAAGAATCACTGGCAGGTGGCAGATTTCCCCATCCCCAAAGTCTCTTTTTACTAATAAACAATTTGGGGTAAGAAAGCTCGATTTCAACAGCATGCAGGACCAAGCGAGACGTCCACCCTCGACATTGCAGCAGAATCGATACATTTACTCTGGATTTAAAAGGTCAGGTGCCACCAACGAGCAGCCAGCAATGCCCCCCCCCCCCCCCACACACACACACAGCATACACAGTGCGGCACTGAGGCTTGCTGCTCCCCATTGGCCAGGCAGGAGGAAGGCGACAAGCGCCCTCCCTTAATGAGACGTCTGCTGCCGCACCTCCTGTGGCAGGTGAACAGCTCCTCCTGCTCTGTAACTAAAACCCCATTTACACCCCCCCCTCCCCCAACCAAGAAAGCTGATGTGGATCCGTGATTAATTCGATTTACTTGATGTTGCCAAACACAACTGTCCACCTCTGAAGGAAACGGCTCGATATGACGTGACGAATCGTCCGCTTGGCTCTGAGAGCCAGCGGCTCCCCCTGGTGAAATTGGGGCTTGTTTGGATGTGGGGGGGGGGGGGTCCCGGGGCTGCCTGGGTCCTTCCTGTGCATACATCACATTAACACACACTGGCAGCTGCTCACACAGGAGACTTTGACAATATTTGTCAAACTGTCTAATATTTAAACTATTAGCCATGCGTACGTATCATATGTATGAGCCTAGCAATCACAGATATGAGTTTATTAATCACATATATAAGCCTACAAAGGCAGCTCTTCAATGGAACAAAGCGTGATGAAGACCAAGCCTCCCTGCTGGGTCAATTGGGGTGAAAATGACACTATGTCTGAGGTCTAACTGCTGTCCTGTTACACCGAATATTCCGACGCAACGCACCCTGAAACCTCTGGCCTGTTCGTTCTTACATAGCCTGATCCGATATGAGTTTCAACCTCTAGTGAAAGCAGCCGCAGAGTGTGGTCAACCATCCACGGGGATGGTGGAAGACATGTGAGGGAAAATAACGGAGATGCTTGTCATCACAGCAACAGCGTGGGGGCGCTGCATAGAGCCTCCGGGTGCAGCATGTGGGCAAAAAAAGCGGCTTGCTAACTGGGGGCTGTGTAACCGTGGAGTGGCCTCAACATCCCTACAAGGGCTCCTGTATTCCATCTGCAGCCGTGACTGCAAGTCATTTCTAGTGCAAATGAGATAATGGACCTGATGTTAGGTTTAATTTTTAGTTGGTTGTCATAGCAACTAATGCTTACCTCTTTCTGAGATCCTTTTCGCCTTCCCATTTTCGACCTTGCGCCATAGTCTGCTGCATCTAACCTGTTTGAAAAGATTAAAGGATTAGACCAGGAAGATCCTGTTTGGTTGCATCCTTTCAGCCTTGGCTAATTACCGCAGTTGATCTGTAACTGGCTATTAATATCGTAGGGCAGGTCATTTTAGTCTTTTCATGAGTGACATAAAATAAAGGCTAATCAGTCTGTCCTCAGCATCCTAAATCCAACATCAAAGTTGAGGTGTATCTGTCTGTGAGGTGGGTGAGGGGGCGTGACCGAAAGTTTTATGTTCTCCGCAATGTGTATAAACAGATGTGTTGGTTGTTTTTGCCCCATTACTGTTATTGTTTTCTGAGACTTGATCTCCTGTAGATGATTTCCTATCCCCGCCTCACATGCCCACTGACCGATCCCTGGAAATAGACCCCAAACCCCAAATGAAGGCCCCATTCCAAGCGCAGAGCCACAGTTGATATTGCCACTCACTCAGCCACCTGCCAGGCAGATGCCATTGCAGTGATGGATAGAGTGGCAGTGAATTAAGTGAATTTCTGGGACCTTTAGGGTTAGGGTTAGGGTTAGGGTTAGTCTAACATCCCCATCCTGAGCTGCTTACGAAACCTTGCATATCAGTTTCTCTTGCAAAAATGCATATTCCGACACAGCTATGCAATCCGGAATATCATAACCATTAATGGATTTATGACAGCAGAACAAGCTATTATTCCCCCCTGGCATTTCCCCCCCCCAGCGGCTGAGCCGGGGGAGAATCACTGAGAGTCCTTCTCATCCCATTTTAGTCATTTCCCTCCAAACACGTCACCCCCGAAGAAGAGGGAGCAAGGGGAAGACACTCGCAAACACTTCCTTGCATCGTTCATTACCGTCTCCAAGTTAAACGCTTTAACATCACCCCTGGAAACCAAGACTTTGGCTTTCAGACCAGGAGGAAACGCACCGTCGATCCCCATCACGCCATGACAGATCACTCACTCTTTATTACATTTGCTTTGTGCTTCTCCCTTTTTGTTCCATTCTTTTATTTCACACGTTCTCTTTCTCTCTCTCTCTGTCTCTCTCTCTCTCTTTCTTCCAGACCAGCAAGGCCATCGCTAAGGGAGACTTCCCCCTAGCCAGCACGGCCTCCCGGCGAGCTCTCTTCCTGGCCGCTCTGTCCATCACCATTGGGACGGGGGTCTACGTCGGCGTGGTTGTGGCCCTCATCGCCTATCTGTCGAAATCTGGCCACGTATAGGGTAGGCCTCCGCGGGCCCCCCCCGACTGGAGCCTGACTGACGCGGATGTGGGCCGTCAGACTCCACAGCGCCTCCTATTGGCCAACATCCACCCGCCACATCGGATTAGCCAGGGAAAGAAAGGGGGGGGGGGGGGGTCACAGGGAGGGACTGAAGACTGTCTGCCGAAACGTTACCTTAACGAAACGGATATAAACATCACTCACATCGATTCTGGACTAAACCTGCTATCCAAGCCCTATTCCAGGCTGGTCGAATAACGGGGGGAGACGGACCAATTAGCAGAACTCCAAGGGAGCCTGCACAGACGGCGCCTGGAAGAGCGGGGGGCGACGCTGCTCTGCGATTCCCTCTGATTCACATAATTAGCACTGAGTTCTGCTTGGAGGAAATTGTAGGCTAACCGCTAATAGCTCCTCTTAATTCATAAACACAAACATATCCTGGAGGTCTAAGAGGGAAAAAAAAAAACCTACTTATCCCTCTGTTTTCCGGGACTAAAAGAGCCGATCTGTTCTTTTTTTAAAAAAGAATCCATGATGTACAGATGGTGTGTTAGCATGGAAACTGTTCCATCTGGAAATTGCTCGTGTTTGCCCAAGTGTTTTTGCAGGCATCAAGGCCCACTTTGATCTTGAAAAAGGTACCAGACGAGTGGCTGAGAACCGAGGCCCTGAACGGCAGGCGAGAGAATCGACAGGAGGACTGAGATAAAACCGTGACTCAGAAGAGAAAGAGGAAAAAGCCAAGGGCCGCCGTGGAAAGGAAGCAAAAAAAAATGCTACCCATTGTGTCTTTCCCTTCAGAATAAATTAATCCGGCATGAGTGAGAATTCTCCCCTTTCTGCTGCAAGTTGCTGCACAGCCATGAGGCACAGAGGTGGAGATGGAATACTGCTGGATGTCAGGGACATGCAGTACAGTACATCGAGGTGTCTAAGGGAAGCCTGAAGGTCCGGTCCTTCTCGGATTCAGGGACCCCCTCAATCTGTTTCTCCTGCTGCCTCGTGCTTCCAGCTGAGTGTCGCCTGAAGCCCGGTGGGAGCTGGACCGTTACCTTCAGACGATTGATTGATGGAGCACATCAGGTACAGGAGAAAGACGATGACGTCTGAATGAAAAGAGCCAACTCTTGTTCTGGAACCTGTGGGACTTCAAAGTCCATGTCCTTGTCATTCTTTCCTTGGGGTCTCTACTCAACATAGGTGCTATAACAGCAGACAACCCTGATATATCACCATAGAGGCTCCTACATTGATTTCTTTGAAAGATCTCAATCTCAGCCGGTATCTACCCTGTCAAGACGACTGCTTTCAGCTGGCAGTTACTCTACCCGAAAATGCTATTTAATCAAAAGATGAGCTGCGCATTGTACCTTGGACCTTGAGTTATGACCCTGGGAAGCAATTCCATAAAGATGGAACAGTGTCTATTAATTGATATTCAGGACAAAAGTTGATGTCTCCTGGAGAGGAACGCTGCAGCAACTAGGCTAGACATTGCTTTGTGCTCTAAAGACTGCAGCCCAGACAAAACAAATGAATCACTGTGCTGCCACATTTGTTATCTAACACATGGAATACAGACCACTTAATTCCCATCAGTCAACAGGGCAGAATCCTAGAGTGCTCTGAAAGGCTTTTGGGTGACTCAGAATTCACCACCTTAGCTAAAATAAAAAACATAATCCTCAACAGAAAACAGGCAGTGTGATGTTAGGGCAGCAGTAGTGAAAATGAAAGGAGCAGGCAATGATTCTCAAACGGTGCAAAAAAAAAAAATCTTCCGGAAAATGAAATGTCTAATTTAATGGCACTGAATATGTGCTAAAAGAGGCTTCATACTTCCGGGGGAGTCAATATGATTCTGCTGGCCCTGAAAACCTTTATTCTCCACGACAACACCAGGAGCTGGAGCAAAAACACCAAAAAAAACAGCGAAGAGGTTAAAGTAAGAAACCTTTAGCCCTTTAAAACTTTTTGAAAAGATAGCATATGTTTACTGAGACCGCGAACGCATTAGCCTTATGGAAATTAAGTTAATGCTTGTGAGAAAAAACAAATATGTAACAGGTGGCAAAATAATTGATGCTGGGGAAAGAGAGACACAGACGGGCGAGTTTGGTGGCATTAATGTAAGCCGGAAGAGGATGAGAGCTCCACAAGGCTGAACTTGAACTAATCAGAACACCTGTCTGGATGTGCAGCTCCTCGAACAGGAGGACACTGATCAGGCAGCTCCTTTGCCCATATGAGGAGTCTGGGGTTCTAGGGTGCATCAGGGAGCGTAGGAGATCTGGGCTTTGCGTGATTCACTGTTGACATTCCGATACATGCCCAATGAGTCCCATAAGCAGCAGAGGGCCTCAAACTGGAGGTCACACACTGCACTGGTGTTGTATCCCAGCTGAAAATATTAGCTCACAGACCATTGTGACCTCGGTTTGACAGCTGTCACCATAGCAACTTCCATATGTGAGCAGTAACGACAGCTTCGAGATTTTGCGCCACAGCATGATCACCAGGAAGGATCCAGCACTGCACGCAGTGACAGGAGAAGCCCTGAGATGGATTTTGAGACGCGTCTTTCTATATGACCTGATTGGACATTTGATGTCTTGACAGGCAGTGTAAATACACATATATCTGATAACGCGAACTTCACGCCCGTGAGAGCATCGCTTCGACATTCAGGCGTGCAAAATCAAGAAGAAGACTGATGCTTTGATTCAGGCAGGCCTTCAATGAACCAGTGCTTCGTCGAGACCTAACTTCCCCCACCGTCCAGTCTTGGCCTTGTTCAGCTACTGGCCCCTTTTGACTGGTCATGTTCCTATGGAAACCGTCTCTGTGCTGAGCACCAGTGTTAACCTTGAACCTGGCGACTGAAAAATATCTGGAAAAAAAACAGTGTACATCATTAATGAGCTGCTCTGTAAATATAGTACCACTAAGTGTATTCTGCTGTTTGAGCGAGTCGAGGTTGTTTATCAGCGCTTTGAACCATCTAACACATACACATTACCATGTGTCACTAAGGAAAGAGACACCTGTACATATCGGGGAGAGCACATATTGTAATTATACAAAGCATTTTTAATTTCAGCTTCCCTGTGGATGTGTTCCTGATGATGTTAATACAAATGTATATCTCTCTGATGGACTGCCTAACGTTACCATAGGGATAAATGTAAATTGTTTGAATGAAAATATTTCCTTATTAAAATGTAATATCCTTCTCTGGATTTGCACACTCATGTGGCAGTGCAAATTCCATGCCCAAGATCCAAAAGTGCCACTAGGGGGAGTACCTACAGCTTGATCACAAAGAGCCAATTAGATGGCGCTTGAACTGGTGCTCCTCCAATCACATGGCGCGATTTCGGTGGGTCATTTCGGCTGGCCCTCGGTGGGTTGCCAGAGGGCCTTCTGCAGAGCTCTGTGGCAGATGGTGCGACTGTGTTCATATCTGTTGTTTGGAAATAAAAGGTGCAAACAGAACATGACAGATTGCCTGTTTCATTATCCGGGAACGCCTCACGCACGTCAGAGCTGTGCTGCACGGTCAAATTTTAAAGCGACAGCTCATAATTTTGTTACCGTAGGCGATCAAAATCGTGATGGTGTCACGTGGAATTCCCTGACAGCATTAAATCTACCTCCTTGCCTTGAAGGGGCTACAGTCTGTTTACGGGACCACTGGGTGATTAAATGTCAAGGATCCTGTATCTTTCTGATAGACAAATGGTCCCATGGTGAGATCATTTATTGCACAGTAACATGAGGGGGAGGAGTGATGCTACATATGCCTGCCAATGAGAGAACACATCCAGTTCCAAACCATTGTGATTGGTTGGTAGGGTGATGACAACACACAAGTCCAATGAGCAACAGGAAAGATATAGATACTTCTCTGCTTTCACCTGCAGTCATTATTTAGACCTCTTAAGATCATCCGTCGACATGAACGTACTAAAAAGCCAGGAATTATTAAGACTCATCTACTACTGTTCTTACTGTGCTAATGACAATGGCAGAAGGAATTCAGGGGTGAGGCCACCTGAGGAAAGTCCCACTTAGGAAGGATGTGTGACCTGCACATTTAATTTACAAGATTCACTGGCTATAACCAAGGTAACCTGAGCAAGAAATGCTACTCATGGGGAACCCGAGGGCTGGCCAACGTTTATTGTAGGAGAAGGATAAAGACTCTGGTGAAGCAGCAAAGGACCCAAACCTGGGGGCTGTAACTTCAGCAAATGATAGTAGATAAAACAGAAGGATGATGTCAGAACCCTGTACAATAAAGACATGTGTCCAGACCAATGGGCCACTGCATTCCACAGAACAAAACCTGACGTTGTACCATGCATTACAGGCAGCTCTCGACATGAGTAACCTAGCTAAAATCTGGACTTAAACATAAATGTCAAAGATGCATAGAGTTCATGGGAGTGCTAATGCTAAAAGGCGACATCCGCAATACGCAAACCATCCGAGGCTGGGCCGTACTCTGCAAAGGCAGCATCCCGTAAATCCGAATTACCCAAAACAGGAATATCATTAGGTTTTGTAGAACAGTTAACTTGCGTCAGTCAAGAACTGCCTGTGTAGAGCTGTTTTCAAATCAAGAACATAGAGAGGAGGCAATTTAGCCTATCAAGCTTGTTTGGAGAGAACTCAACTAATAGCTCAGAGTTGTTAAAATCTTATCTAGCTCTGATTTAAAGGAACCCAAGGTTTTAGCTTGCGTTACACTAACGGGAAGACTATTCCATATTCTAACTACACGTTGTGTAAAGAAGTGCTTTCTCAAATCCAGTTTCAGCTCAGCTAACCTGTCCTCATAAGGCATTCCTCTAAGACCAGGAATTATTCTTGTAGCCCTATGCTGAATACTTTCTAAAGCAGCAATGTCCTATTAAAGATAAGGTGACCAAACCTACGCGCAATTTTCTAGGTGGGGTCGCTCTTACCAAGGAATTGCATTATCTTAGCATCACCTCCCTTGACTTAAACTCCACACACCTAGAGATGTATCCCAACATCCTGTTAGCCTTTTCAATTATTTCCCCGCACTGGCAAGAGTGGGACATGGAAGTATCAACATACACATCAAGGTCTTTCTCATAATCAGCTACTTTTATTTCAGTGGAGCTCAGAAAATATATGTACTTTATATTTCTGCTCCCTACATGGAGTACCTTACATTTGTCTACATTAAATTTCATCTGCCAGGTATCAGCCCAGGTCAGGTCAGAGCAGGTTGGGGAGCATGTGCTAGTGCAGTGCGTTGCCGCACCCACCGCACGGCGAAACTCCTTGGGATCCTGGCCAGCAACCCCCAAGGCAGACACACGGTCCAGTCCCACCCTCCGGAAATGGCCATCCATCTGCCATCAAGCCAGATGTTACGTGGGCGTCCCCCTTGGCCTGGTCCAGCCGCTTAGGTCCCCAACAGTGAGGATCCTGTGAGCTGGATCACCCTCATGGAAACGCGCCACATGGCCATAGTGCCGTAACTGATGCTCCCTCACAATGCAGGTAATGTGCCTCATTGGGGACTCCTCTAGCAACTTCTCATTCAACACAAAGTCAGACCAGCGGTTCCCAAGGATTCTCCAAAGAGACACAGTACAGAAGGAGTCCAGTCTTAGTCTCAGCTCACTGGATAGCGTCCATGTGTCACAGCCATACAGCAAGACAGGAAGCAGCAGGACTCTAAAGACTTGGACCTTCATCGTCTTGCAAGGATATCGCCAAATACCCCTTTCCAGTGACCTCATTACCCTCCATGCTCTTCCAATCCGTCTGCTGATTTCATAGGAAGAGTCACCAGAGACATGAATTTTTTTGCCGAGGTAGGTAAATCTTTCTTCACCAATGGACGCCCCACAGCTGCTGGACCACACGACCCTGCCCAATACCCAGTCTCAGGATGTCCCACAGGGCAACTCGATCAACTGAGTCAAATGCTTTACAGAAATCGACAACGGCTGCAAAGAACCTCTGTCGATATTCACACTTGCGCTCAATGAGAACCCTCAGTGCCAGGATACGGTTGATGGAAGACTGCTCCGGTCAGTGATAGATAAGAAAGTGATCATGGATCCTGTTCAGGATGACCCTAGCAAGGACCTTACCCGGCACTGCAAGCAGTGTTATCCCCCTATAGTTGCTGCAATATAGGCGATCACCATTCCCTTTCCAGACAGTCCCATTTTCCAGTCAGTTGGGATGACGCCTGACTCCCAAATGGAAGCAAAGATAGCCTGCAATGCCAGGAGGACAGCCTGGAGAAGTTCACGCCAGATACCACAGATCCCTAAGACCTTCCCTATCCCCAGCTGATTCATCACCTGTGCAATCTCAGTGAGATTGAGTGGTTCCAAATTGATCGGAAGATCATCTTCAAGAACCGTGGACCCAGAGATATCCAACATCCTACCTGGAGGGTCAGCTTTAAACAACTGCTCAAAGTAGCCGGCCAAGCAGGTAACAACTGCAGTGTCATCCGTAAGGACTGTTCCATCACCCGCCCTGACTACAAGTCTCCGAGGAACAGATTCAGATGTGCGTAATGCTTCGATTCCTCTGTAAGCAGGACGTGGGTCACTAGACCACAGATGGTGTGTCACCTGCTCACAGATTCGTCTAACAAACGCCTCCATATCTACCCTCAGAGCCCTCACAGCCATCCTTCTCTGTTCCCGGTACAGACTGGAGTTGACACCAAGTCATGCGCTGCGACTCCTCTTGTTAATATCCAAGGTGCTCTGCGAGATGAAACACCTCCTACTGGAAACACTGGCAACACCAACACAACCCTTGGCAACCTTCGGGGTTTAATCACGGAGGGTATCCTACATCACATTAGAGTCAGTAGTCGCACCCAAGTCTCACACAAACTGCGTGGAAACTCATCAGAAACAGCTTGATCTTGGAGTCTGAAGTCCAGCCTCATTCTCCTAGTAGGTGATAGCCTACTGGATCTAAGCTGAATCTTCAGTAGTAGCAACAACAACTCTGTGGTCAGAATTCACAAACTGGGCACTTCTGTAGACCCTGCAGTTCTGCTGGAGCCTCCAGCGTCTGTCCATGAGGATATGGTTGATCTCCTTCCACCAATATTGGAGTACCAAGTCCAACGATGCAGCTCAGGGCACTGGAATCAGGATCCAGCGACCCACAGCCCCTGACCTTCCACAAAGTCAAGGAACATAGAGCCACTTTTACCCCTGTCTCCCGACCAGTGGGGACAGACACAATCCTCATAGCCAACCCTGTCAGTGCCAGTGGTTGCATTGAAGTCATCATGACCAGAGGACTATCACCTTGTGGGCACCCTTCAACCACCAAGTAAAGTTGCAAGTAAATTGACTCCCTCAACGAGACATCACTCACCGCAGTCGAAACATACACTGAGACAACAGACAAGACACTCAAGGAGTGTCTTATCCTGAGTCTCAAAATTGAAAGGAATATTATTTTTTAAATCAACCTGTATAGACTTAGATACTCCTGCTTGATTTTGAAATCATTAGTTATTTTCCAGTTGTGGAACAGAGCCCTTTTCCTCCTGACTTTATTCTTAATTTCCTTAGTAAACCACCTTGGTTGTCGTTTCCTAGATTTTGTTTTGCTGGAAACAGGTATGAAGTCCTCTTGTGCTTGCAGTGTAATGTGCTTTTAAACAATTCCCATGACACTTCAATAATTTTGTTTTTGAACTCCATCCAGTTTACAGTTTCTAGTTTCAGTCTCATACCATCAAAGTTAGCCTTCCTAACACTGAATATTTCTGTTTTGGACTTTGCTCTTCAGTCACTAAAATTAACCTCAAAATTAACCATGTTATGATCAGTACTGTAAAGTGGTTCTATAACCCCAAATTTTCCAATCTTATCCTCTTTATTAGAGAAAACAAGATCGATAATGACTTCTCCCCTGGTAGCGGTTTTAACAAACTGAGTAAGAAAAAAACAATCCTGTACCAATTCCACCATCTCAAGTTCATTTTCAGTAGAGCCAGAAACTATGTCCCACTGTATCACAGGTAAATTAAACTCACCCATGATTACCACACGTTTTACAGTGCCCACTTTCATTATTATTTGGTGCTTTCTATCTTCTCTCAATTTATATTCTTAACTACACTCCCTGCCCATAGTTTAAACTCTCCTTAACTACTCTACACATACACCTCCTCAATACACTGGTTTCCCTCTGGTTCAGATGAAACCCATCCGGCTTGAACAGGTCCCACCTGTTCCAGAAGGTCCTCCAGTGCCCCACAAACCTGAAGCCCTCTTTCCTACACCACCCTTTGAGCCAAGCCTTTAATCTCATTATCTCAGCTAACTTAGCCTGGCTCGCGCATGGCACGGGAAGTATTCCAGAAAATGCCACTGTGGACGTTTTGCTTCTAAGCTTATCTGTGACTTCTATACATTTTTCCTGCAGGACAGCCCTCCTACCGTTGCCTATATTGTTGGTGCCAA